ATATATATATATATACGAGCATGTGTCTAGTAAATTATTGATTATGTATATATTTGTATTTTTGTATCATTTCGTTAAATGATAAATGAATAGACTGGTTGTCTTTTTTCATGTGTCCTGTGTTTTGTATTTATTGAACTATAATAAAGCTTCTCTCAGCTTCCTCACAGCTATCTTGTCCACTCTAAAGAAGGTTTGATGACCCCTGGTCTAAAGTACAGCTACATTCTTCCCACAGCGACTCTGGTGGCCCGTGTCCCGACTACGAGTGTGTACCCATATGCCCTCCTGTAGCGATGCCCCTGTGTCTACCGGGATATACTTTAGAAAAACAGTAAGTAAAAGTCTTTCATCATTTTATATTTCATTTCTATTTAGTCTCTAATTTCCAGAAACTTATTCTCCCCCCCTCCAAGCGTTCAAAAGATATGATGCATTCGAGTATATAAATATATACAGTGGAGTCCAAAAGAAACTTGAAAATGCAATCGGCTAATCATTATGTTAAAACTTTGCAGTCCCCACCTATGCAGCACACACATTTAAAACTAAATACATTTTGCTTCATCTGACTCATTAATATTTCATTTATGTTCAGAGATGCCCGCGGTATGGTCACTTAAAAATGACCTTAATAATCAGACTTGGCAAAGTTGTGCGAAATCAAAGAAACGAAAAATAGTCTTTGCGCAGGTATTGAGGAGCACCAATATTGATAGAAAGGACATACATTACATATCCAATGAATCATGCTAATAAGCACATGCAGCGTTAAGTCCATGTATTGCACATTGTTTGTGACAACTTTGCTTTCTTATTCTGTTTAAAAATATCACCAGAAGATGCTGTTCATTGCAGAAACAATAATATTCTCTTTTTATTCGATATTCAATACATGCCCATTCCATCACTGTTGATGCACTTACAGACTTTAACATAAAGAAGACCGCTTGCAAACACTCTGAGTGGTCTTCTTTGGTCGACCTGCACATGGGCGTTCTTGAACTGATCCAGTGGCTTAATGGCACTACCTCAAGCGGACAATGACAGAGTGTGACACTGGAAGCCTTCTGGCAACTTCTCGGGCTCTAACTCCATCCTGCAGCCATGCCATAGCTCTGGCACGATCAAAGTCTCTCAGCTTTCGTTTTGGTGCCATGTTGATGCAATACTTGATTTTGCGCAAACGGCGGCTTATATTGCCACCAAAGTGAGCACAGTTCGAGATCGTGCGTCTGTTTATGACGTGCATCAGAAATTTTAACTGAGGAATGTCCGTGGTGTCGCACACCAGTCGATAAAAAACAGCACATTTGACTAAAATTCTCCGAGGATTTCCATGTTGCACGTGTTGGTTTTGTCCTTTTGAGAACCTTTGCAGTACCCATTGGTAATCCATTAACACTTTTAGAGCAAAAAAATGGAAACATTCCTTGCTGTCTTTTTTCGGATTATTAAAAAATCAGGGCTGTCTGTCAAGATGTTCCTAACTTATGTTGAAATCTGTATATTCACACGTGAACACACTTTTACTTAATATTATCTTTGAATTCACACGAATACAACTAAAGAGTTGAAGTGTAAACCCTTATCGCCCTCCCCTCCCCCAGACAACGTCGCCAGTGTGTTATGTTCAAGCCACTGTCCTTTATTTTGCAGGGTGGATGCTAACGGTTGTGAGTCATATTCCTGTAAACCGGTGAGCAGAACTTTCCATCTGCTTTTTTTCTCCTTTTAATGATGTTTTTGAAACTATCTAATATATCTGTCTTTCCATGTCTCTGGTATCTGTTGGTGTATGTTTGTTTGTGTGTTAGTGAAAGTGTGTACTTATTTGTTTGTATTGCATGTCCTGGTTGAGTTAGATGCATTATTTTCCTGGCAGGAATTTATTCAGCTCGAAATCTTGTTGCAGGCATGACGTAGTCTATCTTTTCTACCATACCATGCTCTTGTCTATGTCTTATCCCACAAAATTGAAGACATCATTCTCTCTGTGTGTGTCTCTCTTCACCCCCCCCTCTCTCTCTCTCTCTTTCTCTCTCTCTCTCTCTCTCTCTCTCTCTCTCTCTCTCTCTCTCTCTCTTTCTCTCCCTAACGTGGCAGTTTAGTACCCCATAAATCGCAAGTCATTCTACAATCAGTTGATAACGACTGTAACAATATTGAAACTAAAGTGTTTCAAATGTGGTATTTTTTCTTTATATTTCAGCCCAATGTTCCCTGCACTATGCCTGGGTGTATGCCTGGCTGGAAACTGATTACTAGGTTTGTATGAGTTACATTAGCCATTTGTCTAGCCCTGAGTTGTTCCATCTTATCTGAACCCTGAAGGGGTTTGTAAAGTCGCTCCAAGTAAGGATGCGTTTAGTTCAAAACTTCAACAATCGGAATGCCTATTTTCTAGTCCTAGATATGTGGAGTGAAGATTCAATCACATGCACTCATGCAGTGTTTTAGTGGACACTTTTACTCGAAGAGAGCAACGAGGATCTAACACCCGTATTGTCAAACACCAGATACGTTTAGCTTACATTTAATTTTGACTACGGATCGTCATCGGAGCGTTGACACAATTTTGGCATCCATATCGTTGTCTAAATCAACACCATAGTCAGTATTATTCTTACCTCGTTTTGAATACAGATGCCACAGCAGACATAACACCTAAAGTTACATTCACTTAAGTACAAGAGTCATAAATGACTAAAGTACATTGTATTATGTGTGCGCTGGCGGGCCTTTGCAGAAAGTCACAAACTTGGACATTTGAGAGTATCCCGTCCCAAGTTACTTGTACTTGATCATACTAGGAAAGGGACATAAGAGACAAAACTACTTGCATTTATCCTTATTTGGTCTCTAGTCTTCTGTCCTGCTGTTTTCCAAATCTTTACTAGATTAGCACGTTGTCCAATACCCCCCACCCCTTTTCCACAAACACACGCCTCTTCAAATAAACAGCCAACTGTGGCAGCCGTATTCGACTGGCATGCTATTGGCGTACTCAGGACTTGGCCAACATAATAATTTAATCATTCGTCCACTAACTCCTCGTGCAAACTAAACGGGCTTTCTCAGATTTCTCAATGTTTTGCTAATGTATCTAACACTTCACCGGGTTTAGTGTGACGCATCTCTCAATTACCATGATATTGTTCTTCACCTCTCGCCTGATCGTACTGAGTCGCTTTCGCACGAAATTTCCTTAGTATATATATATATAATATTTATTATACACACATTTTTATTATACAC